TATTTTCTGACTAATTCCTCCACTCTCTGTCTCTCTGGCCTGCTCAGACACAGACCCCCGACTTCTGGAGAAGCAGGAGCAGCAGCAGCCGACATATGTTGCCCTCAGCTACATTAACAGGTAAAGAATTGGAACTGCGGAATTCGTATGTATCTATATTGTGATTTTCTAGTCTTGCTTACCACTCAAAGTGCTTTACAGTGCAGTTTTTCTATTCACCCATCTATGTGCAGCACTTTCTTTATTAAAGATCTGGTACAAAGGGGCACAATCAGGGCGGCAATTTGGTGTTCAGTATTTTTCCAAAGGACACTTCTATAGGGATAGACTAGGATCAAACCACCGAACTTCTGGTTAATAGACAACCCGCTCTACCTCCTGAGCCACAGCAACATGAGATGCATTGTAAATATACTAAAATCTGACACATTTAATGTCAGTGACTCCTCTGAATCAGTGAGTATTACTTCCATGTCCCATGCGAAGTGTTCCTGTGAGGTACTACAAGCAACGTCAGATGTCATCTGGTGGATCGCTTAGATGAATTGCTTCAGTGTTTGCCGGCTGGGTTTATTTTTATTGCACTGGGTTCATCCCAGTCGTCTTTGATATGGTGCTGGAATAGTGGTTTTTAAAAGCCTTATGCAACAAGCCAGTGTACAAGAAGGTCTGCCACTGTCTCCCTGCCCTCACAAACACATCTTGATGTGGTTATCGCTTAATTTGTTAATTCCACTCCAGCAGTAACAATGTCTATGTTAACATTTATTTTTTATGATACACATTTACCAAAGACTTTACTATCCATCATAAACCTTGGTGAAAGTTTTTTTTTTGATGGGAATGGAGCCAGTGATCATTTTTTTCCAAGCACGTGTTTTACAGTAGCAGACCTTTAATGCTCTAAACATCAGAGCAGGTCACTGAATGGAAAAAAAAACCTTGACCAGAGTTATTTCCCACAATGCCAGGTTTATGACAGATGCTGCGCGGCGAGAACACGATGCCCTGAAGAAGAAGGTGCAGCCCAAGTTGTCCCTCTCGCTGACCGGAAATCTGTCGCGCAGCAGTGTTTCCACACCACCTCGCCACACCAGTGGAAACCTCACGCCTCCAGTCACCCCACCCATCACGCCTTCCTCTTCCTTCCGCAGCAGTACGCCGACAGGTAACCGTCCAAAACACACTCACCTCGTGTTAGTCCAGAGTTTAACTGCACTGGACTACACACAGAGCACTGAAGACAAACTGACCTTCTTATAGGATGGAAACAGGTGGAGAAACAGTGGTTGTCCTCCTCAGGGTTCAAATTCAAAAAATACAAAATAAAACAGGGCTGCTGTCAGATCATAAGGAGACAGTGGGTGGCTCAGTCACTGTGGGAGGTAAAGATTAAAGCACTGTTTTTATATGTAACCACATTTATATATATATGAAGCACCCAATGAGATTCATTTAGATATTTATCACATCACAGTATGTGCATTTTATTTCCAGGGGTATTACAAGGTTTTAAATCCTTGTGTTTTACTAAGTGAAACTGAAATCAACCAATCTGTTTAATGAATGTAAAATCTCTTCATTAGTTCATCCTGAATTTGTTAAGAGGTTAAGTTTTCACCTTTGTTTTCTGTTGGTTTGTTTGTTTGTAAGCAAGATTACACAAAATCTGCCTGATGGATTACCAAAAAACCTGTTGGAAGGATGTGGTATGGGTCAGGGGAGAATTTCTTTCCATTTCTTTAACATTGTGAGATTGATATTTTGACTGATTTCAGGGAATAATTCATGTTTCGAGGACCGATATTTATGAGTGTGCAACGTGGTCTGACTAGATTGAATTGAAGGGGACTGTTGGGCCTTGGTGGACGTATCCACTGAGTGACATTCTACTTTGACGTGTTATTGTACAGATATTGTCCATCAACTGAAGATGAATGCTGGTCGTGAGAAACAGCTTTGTAATTTAACTCTAAATTCAAGCTACAGAGAATCATGGACCGCTCTCACACTCTAGCAAATTTTTCTGAATCCCTCCAGTGTTCATAACAAACACGTTTTTTTTACGTTTCCTCTTGGTTATGTTTTTCCCATGTGCTTATGTCCTAGTTTTATAAAATATGCAGTTTTATGGCATAACATCTTCAGCTAACCTATAAAACAATTGCAGCTAATTGACCCTAAGACCTCAATAAAATGTATAAATTCTTTCTCACGATTGGCATATTTCAGTCTTTGCACGGCCACTGTGACACGCAAAGATGAAAATTATGGGACCCCTGCCCCTGAGAAAAGGTCCACGCTTGTCAGCCCCAAGGCCTCGAAGGATGTATGATGTTGACGTCCTAAGTCATCTACTATTTGACTTGATGTTTACCCTCCCACAGGTAGCGAGTGTGATGAAGAGGAGGTAGACTTCGAGGAGTCTGACAGTGATGAATCGTGGACTACAGAGAGCGCCATCAGCTCTGAATCGATCCTCAGTTCCATGTGCATGAATGGGGGAGACGAGAAGCCTTTTGCCTGCCCTGTCCCAGGCTGTAAAAAGAGATACAAGGTAGGTTTAACTCCACACCTCTCAGTAAAAGACTTACTACGCCTTTAACATATTGCCAGAGTGTGAAATATTTCTACTGTGCCACGAGAGGACCTAAGATATCCAGGTTGTCCAAAGTGTGAGGTGCGTGATTATTTTAGCTCGCATTAATGAGAATGTAAAGTCAAAATGGATTCCCTGCTGTTGACTGGGAAATGGTTCTCAGTCGAGCATTCCAACAACATAAATACATACATCTAGTCCACTTCAGTAATGTGGAGTTTTACAGGATTTTCCATTCACATCTGGTGTGGTGGTTGGGATAAATTATGTGCAGCCTGAGAAAATTGCATTGCTGACATGAATGACAGAGTTATGGGCGATGACTTAGTCTGAGGCGGCGGGCGGCTTGAGGGGGAGAACGAGATAGGATTTTAACAAGAAAACATTTTTATTTCCCCCTCTCTACACTCTTTGTTTATTGGTGACCACTTTTTTTGCCCAAAAATGATGAAAGACATGCAGTGCACGACTAAAGCCTGTGGGCACCCCGATCTTAATGCCACAGAATGATATTTTCGACAACAGCATTCTTGCAACACTGTGTCAACTATTTTTAATGAAGGATGTTTTCTGGTTCAGCATTACAATCCCCCAAATGTGCACAAAACCAAGTCTTTGTGTGGTCTGGAGGAACCTGACTTTCCTGCACATAAGAATTACGTCGATCTTGTCCAACACCTTCGTATTAATCAAAACCTCACGCAGCTTTCACCACCTAACATCAGTTACTAAAAATAATTTGAATCCCTGGAGGTTTCAAAATCTGACAACCTTTCCAGAACTGTGGAGGCTGATTTAATGGCATATTAACGCTCAAACTCTGAATTATGATTTTGCTCGTTAGGTGTCCAAAAAGTGACGGCTTGTTTAATTTCCCCTTCTCTCGTTACAGAATGTGAACGGGATCAAGTATCACGCCAAGAATGGCCACCGAACCCAGATAAGGGTGCGCAAGCCCTTCAAGTGCCGGTGTGGGAAGAGCTACAAAACATCTCAGGGTCTCCGTCACCACACCATCAACTTCCACCCGCCCATCTCTACTGACATCATCCGTAAGATGCAGCAGTAGAGGCGCGGAGGGACCAGCACTCTCTCCTTCAGGCCATTTCCCCAGCACCCCAACACCATCATCACCAGCAACGGCTGTTTCTTACTCCACGTCATTCCTCTCATCCTCAAATGCCCCGCCCCCATCTCTTTCAATCGCTCTTTGCTATGACACTATTTTTGATTGCATGGAGTAAACGTATTATTATTGTTTTCATCCTTATTTTTTATTCAGAATATTGAATCTTAATGTAGTTCAGTTTTGTATTTTGCACATTTAGGCTGACATTTGTCCTGATATTTTTTTTTTACATGGTGCTCATTGATGAGGATGTAGCCTAGAGAATGGCCACACGGCGTCACAAGTAGCCTTGCATGTGCAGTAGGGCGTCTGCCTTGAAAGGCAGCGTGACGGTAGAAGAAACCAAGGAGAGATTGAAACGTGTTTGTGGAGAGATGAGGCGCCGTTTCTTTGCCTCTGTCTCTTATGAGCCAAAAAAACATGACGGAGGCAAATGAGAAAAATTAGGATGTGGGTAGTGTCATAACATTTGTACGTTTCATTCTCCATCAGGTTTGCTGTTATTAATCATTGTTGGATTCAGTCAGTTTTATTTCATATCACAAGTATTACAAGCCTTATTTTCTCATCCGTTTTTACTGCAAACACTTGTGTGAGCACCAAAGGATGATCTCAGGTGACAATTGAAAGCATTTCAGCACCACAGTCCTGCCCAAGTGTTCTCATAGTATTTATGCGGTTTGATGGGATCATGAGAACTCAGCGTGTCGTTGTTCCTGAAGTTCTTAATCACTTTCCTAAAAGATGAAAGCAGTTGTCCTCGCTATTTTACGGTGAGAGATTCAAGCACTTTTGTAACAGGTTGCCAACAAATTAGCATTTTCTTTCCCCAACCTCTCGTCTCTGGTGTGTGTACAGTAGTGATGGAAACGAGGCGAAACGCCTTCAGAGCTGAGGAGCAGGTTGCTCACTTATGAATAATGAGCCACTAGATAACATCGTCACTGCATGGATGTTAGTGTTAAGGAACTGTTGTGACAGTATTGTACTGCCAGTATGGAGGAAAGTCTTTGATATAGTGTACAGTGAATGTATTGTCATGTGTTAAGTGCATTAAATTATATTTTCATATGTTTCTGGAGTTAGGAAAAAAAAATCCCAATCATATATAACATGTATGAAAAGGCAAAACCAGAGAAACTGATGGTGATGTACTGTATTTCTTCAAAAAGCTGCTTCATGTAAACTTTTGTTACGTTTAGAATAAAAGTTCCTCTACTGTGTGCCTAAAAATGCTTGTGTTTTTTGCGTTTTGACACACAACTTAGCTGCTCCGTTTCAAACAGACTTTATTAGTACATATTAGATACATGGAACTCACTCAACAAATGAAACATTACTATGAATAAAATAACTTAATGTTGTAAAAGAGAAGAACGAAAAGGGGGAACTTTAACAAAAGCTCAGCATGCACTGATCAGCTGATGATATGAAGGTTCTAACAGGTCCGGACACAATAACCCGATTAAAAAATTAAATCAGAACTAAAGGAAACCTAACAAAACAAATCAATATACACAAAGAATCAAGGCTTCACAATATCATTGGCTTTAAATATTCTAAAATAGATGATCTGACCATATACTGTATAATCATGTCTGGATGTAATTACTGAAGAGTTCTCCCTGACTGCATATAGTGCACCAAGGCTATAAAGACTGAGCAGATGACTTGTACAGGGATGTTTAAGGGGAATGGGGGAGCATTTGGTTTGATGTTTTTAAATGTAAGTTTGGTAAACACTTATCTCTTTCCCTGATTCGTTATATCTTATAGTCTAACAGATCTGTGAGAGCCGAGTCAATTTAAAGTCATTTTATATATTTATATATACGTACAGAACAGTCTTATCCCCCTAAGTTATCCTTCTAATCCAAATGAAGGGAAATCTTCCACCCATAAAAAAATGCTCTAATTTGCAAACAGATTTCGTAGCCCTGCAATGTACACTGAATCAAAATGTCATTTTAAAATGTCACATCACTTCAAAGTGTTCCTAAGTGGAAGTAAAAGCGAAAAGTCAGTACAGTCCTAAAGACTGGATCTTCACACCATTACATGCAGAAAAGAGTGCAGAATGATTTATTTCAGTGGTTGACAGGAAGTAGGCAGAGCTGAAGGTGCAGATTTTTCCGCTTCTCTATTCGAAGTTAAGCGTGTGGCCGTCGAAGTGAGTGAGCACGTGATTCTCAAACACCTTCTGGTCGCAGTCCAGCGGGAACTGCTCGCTGCACATCGGGCAGATTTTCCAGTGGCTCTCCACGTGCTCCTCGAACTTGCTCTGGTCGTAGTTGGGCGGGAAGATGACCTCGCAGAGCGGACAACGCTTCATGTCCACGCTGCGCACGGAGAGAAAGGAAAGGACGACAAGCAGAGGAAAGTAAGCTCGGGTAAATAAGCAGAGTCGAGTGATGATGTAGGCAAACCAGGAGCACGGGCTAATAAATGGCATCTGTGTGAAGCGACGTGGGTGGCCTGCTGCTCCGCTAATGACAACAAAAGGGGGTTGTGCAGCAGAACAAACACTTGACACATGTAACAATGCACAGGTTTGGAAAACTGTAGGGTGCAGCAAACGTGGACGGCATTTATGAGAGTGAAGGCATGTGAGGGTGTGTTACCTGGGATCAAAGCAGAAGGCTGTCTGTCCATTGCTCACAAAGGGGCTGTGAGTCTCAGTTGCAGCGGGCTGTTCGTTGGTGTTACCCTGAGAAAAGACACATAAAATAGTCAATCCACTGATATGAAGTCACTTCAATCGCATTTAGCTGTTTACCACACATGAGAGAGAGGCTTACGTTGTTGTTGTTGTTTTGCTTTTCCTCTGACTCCTCGTGGCCCTCTGGCCGGCTGTGGTTGCGGGTGGGTTGGATGCACACCACATTGCTGTCCCAGGAGGGCGGGCCCACAGGGGGCAGCCTCAGCAGCTGGTCATCTGAGAACTCCTCGTCTGCCTCATCTGAAGAGGGAGAATTCAGACACATTCAGTGGTTTTAAATAAAAGGCATTCATTTCTGCAACTGTTGGTGTTAAAGGCTAATGATACAGTATACGCTACAAGCTGCATGAAAAGCAACCTTTCGAGTCTGAGGCGGAGTAAGGGTTCCCAAACTGCAGCTTGCTGGGGCTCTGAGAGACCAGCAGGGGGGTGGGGGCGTCCTGGGTGTAAGGGACCGGGTACTGCAGGAATAAAGGCACGCTGGACTGGATGCTCTCCAAGCTGGTTTTCTCACTGACCCCCTGATCTCCCTTCCTGCTGCAGCCGCCCTTCTGGAGCTCCTGTGGGAGGCAACAGCGGAATATAATAATACATTTATACATATGTGTGTGTGTGTCTGTATATATATATATATATATATATACACACACACACACACACACACACACACACGTTTTCGTCCCTTGATGCCTCCCAGCCTGTCGAGCTGAGTAATATATCACTGCTGTCCTCACACAGCAGCTCTTGCTTTTTCTCTTGCGCTCACACACAAACAGTTTAATTAGTGCCTTCATTAAAAAAGAAACCCTTCTCGTTTTCAAAGGGAATATGACGCTGTGTTTTATTGATGTTAGTTGCAGACGCCAATTTCATTTACAGTCTAAACCTCAAATTGGGTCATTCTGCTCCTCTTAGCTGTAACTGCATTACCTCCAAGCAATATTTTAGGTCAGTGAGGACCTCGCTGTGGTCCAAAGTAATGGAATGGAAAATAAGAACTCATTTACTTTGCTTCTACAATTAGAGCCATATTAAACACAGACCAGATTGGGAGAGGGAAAATGGCAGAGGAATGGCACTTTTCAGGGATTTTTTAGAGTGGAATAAGACTATAAAAGAGAAAATGAAAGCTATCACTAACCCCTTCCAGTTTTTCCTTCTCCTTCACAACAAGTGCAAGTGTGTCCTTCAGTTCCTTCAGCTCCCGTCCCTTCTCGGCAACCTGGCCCTGAGTTAAACAACAGACACAAAATCAGAGAAGTGATGAGACTAGCAGAGATGTTGCTACACGGCCATTAAGATGTTCGACACATTGCTGTCGCCATGTGAGATTTCAACATGCCAGCCTTCTTGCATCAGAGACATGATTACGTACCATTTATACAAAAACTTATAGGTGCTATATTCCTGGTTGTGTAAATGCGGCTTTTGTTTTTGCTCAAACTTTTGACAAAAGATCCTGATTGAATGGTGCATCTCTGAAATACAGTCAGAGCATGACATTAATTGATCACAGCCATAAAAGGCTTCCCTTTGCCGAGTTCAGATTTATGTACAGTGCTGCTCAAAGACAAACAACCTGTTTGAATTCCTCCCAGACACTAAGCAAATATCTGCCTGATCTGATCCAAGCACAGCATTAGCCAGGCAACTGGAGAGGACTCCTCCGAGCCAAGCTTCGCTCGTCACCAGAGCCCGACATAAACAGCAGTAAAATGTCGTCTCACAGATATAGGCCTGCTCATAAACAACACTGTCAGAGTGACTGTGTTCAGTGGAAGAGATAGCATCAAAGCTTAGTCCCTGAGCTTCACCAGCAGCACACAGAGGTAAAAACACACCAGTCCAGAAACTGTCCTGCTTCAAAGGCAGCACAGCATCACCATCAGCCGCACTCCAGCTTCACTAACCTTGTAGCGATCTTCCTCTGCCGCCAGCTGCAACTTCAGGTTTTCATTGGTCTTCAGCTGCTCCTTCAATTTCACCTCCATTTTGGCCAGCTCATCAGCAAACATGCAGCTACGCTCCTTCTCCTCCTGAAGAGCAATCACACTGTATCATATCTTTGTACTACAGTCAGTGTACAGAAGTACAAGTGCTTCACAACAGGGTTATAATGTCCAATTCTGGGATATGTGACCAGTCACAGGATAGAAAAATGTGTTTTCTTACCCCCAGCAACTGCTTGCATTTTCTGTACTTGTCATTTCTGTCAGACGCCTCCCTGCTGAAGCCTTTGAGCTTCTCCTGGATGATGGCTTCCAGCATAGGATCAGCAGAGCCTGGACTCCCTGTGAGGACAAGTCAGACAGTGAGCTGCGACAAAGCAACCGCACGTAGTCACTTCACTATCAGTTCATCGGTTTATAATAAAAATTACAAATTGATGCATTTTTATACTTTATTTACATGAAAGTTAATTTTACATAACAATATATCAAAGACCAGACTCCAAAATAAAACAACTAATTGGCTGATTTCTGATGTGAAATAGGCAGCTCACTAAGAAATGACATTGTTGGTAACTTAAATAACATCAGTTGTTAAGGGTTTACAGTTTGGCACAGTTCGATGACAAAATGTGAATACCTGGCACTGATGTGTCTGGGCTCACTGATGCAGGGATTGTCGTGATCTCTTGTGCTGAGCTTCTCTTCAACTCCTACACACAAAAACAAAAAATAGGTGAGAAACAGAAACGGCTAATTAGCACAAGCACACACAGATCAGAAGACAGCAAAAAAAAAAAAAGAAAGAACACATTTAAAACTCAAACTAAAGTATGCAAAAAGAAAATTACAGCATGACACGATTTTAAAGATATTTTTGTGTATTGCATGAAGATTTGTGTATCAACTTTACAAAGTGACATTCAAATGTGCACTACAAAAGACTCATTGAATCGTGATAAGAGATGGGTTGATTAAGCTCTGGGTGTTTTTGCAAAAAATCCCAAGAAGGAAATCAGCAAAACAGACAAAGGAGTGGCCAAAGGAGCTTGTTAACTTTGAGTGTATTTAGTGTGACAGGCAGGCATAGAGTTACAGAAATCTGAGGCATGTTCGGTGGGGGTTGTATACAGTTCCTCCGCCGGTATCTGGTGGGACCTACCCCTTGCTGTTCAGAGAGCTTAAGCACTTGTTTTTGCAGTCTCTGACATTCCTTGTATTTCTCCTTATAGTGTTCAGCAGCCATGTGCAGCCGCATCTTCAGGTCCTCCACCTCTCTCTGCAGCTCCGCTAAGACAGCTGGGTCTGCAGCAGCCTCCTCTTCTGCTGCTTTGGCCTTGTGACGAAAACATAACAGGGCACATTAGATATATCAACACATGTATTTAATTTGTAAGAGTCAAATGAATATACAGTGAAAGAAGCTGACTATAGAAACTGAATTAATCAGGGGAGGATTTTGTCTTGTTTTTAGATTTCGTTGGTTAAGTCAGAATTTATAAGAACAGAAGCTTTAAAATCCCCTGTGGATTTTCCCTTTTCTGTCATTTTGTTTGTATTCTCATAACTTCCTCATACACCCAAATATATCATAAAATCTTTAATATATTTGTTTTTGTTAAACAGTGAGAAATCACACTGTGATATATTTTTTGAATATAATTAAATATAATTTATTACTTCTATTATCTTGAATGATTTTATGGTACTTTTGGAAATGTTTTTCAAACATCAATCAAATTCAAATCTTTTCAAAATAATTTTGATACTTTTGTTCATTACAACTAGATATTAAAAAACACATCAGCTAATTCAATCAACGAAGCCTGACATGTAGACTGGTCATCATGCTTACTGCTTCCTGCTTGGCCTCTGTCTTCATCTGCTCCACCAGGCGCTCCAGGAGGACACACTGGGCCTGAGCGTCAGTCTTGGCCTGGCGAAGGGCATCGGCCTCCAGCTTCATGTGGTAGAGTTCAGACATGGTGCGGTCGCGAGTCCTAGAGGCATCCCGCAACTCAGCGGATAACAGCGAGGACTGCTGCTGGTTGGCTTGGAGCTGTTCTTCCTTCTGCCGCAGCTGCTCCTTCAAGGCCTTCATATCTCCCTGCCAGACACAGACATATTAGAGATGAACGTTTCTTATTTCCAAAATTTCCATTTATCTTGAAATTATCATGCGATGGAAGAATGTGTCGAATTAAATGTGGAATGTGAGTAATCTACCACGGTGTTGTGACTTTTTTTTAAACTTTAAAAACAAAATTCTTTGTACCAGGGGAGAAACTTTGGCCAGGATCTCTCTGTACTGCTTCTCCTTCTCAGTGAGGCACGCCTGCAGACGTCCCACCTCCTCTTTAAACTGGGCAATGGTGTTTTCCTTGTTTACATCCACAGACTTCAGCATTTGTAGCTCTGCACTCAGCTTAGTGTTCTCCAGCTCCCGGTTTTTCAGGTGAATCTGTTGTACACACACAGATGCAAACACATGGTGCCACACACACACATACACACAGAAAAGGTTATAAAACATGAGAAGTTATAACGTATTAAGTTGTTGCCTTTTGCCTCATTTATACAACAACCATCACAATCATGAACCAAAGAGCATATGACTATTAAAATAAATGTTGCATGACCTCAATTACAAAACAGAAATTGAAGTAGGCCTATAAAGTTTTCCTTGTGCAACGACCCCAGTGTGATGGTGCAAGTTAAATTAGGAATGGGTTTTTAGCTCCGTTTACGTGGCAACAGTGCAGTGTGTGGCACTCCCAGTTCCTGTGTGGTGCCCACCACAACAAAGAGGTAGAAACACCAGATGGACCAGAAAAGGAACAGAAAAACGCATGCCCTGTTTAGCCTAAATGATTGGGGAGGAAAAGCCGAAGTATTCTCACTTTGGTAAAAACAAGGAAGAAACCGGAAGAGTTGTTGAACTGGACCTCTAATTTTCAGATCTCCAATATGACAAAAATCAGAACGCATACATCTGTGAAACAAAGGAGATAGTGACTGACTGACTTCAGGAGGGTCGGCGTGCACCATGGCACTGTTGTGGAGAGGGTCAGTAACATCAACCTTGGAATTATTTTAAAAAGCCCAACAGCGATGCCGTTCTCTCCAGAAACTAAAAAAAGAACAAGTCTCCCCATCTTAGCTTTTACCACCTTCTACAGGGGCTTCACCGAATGCATCGGAACTAATGATCTCATTTCCTAAATCGGTAACTGAAAACGATAGTTCCTGTTGCAGATTTACCATCAGCCTCTAGCATCATTGATGATCCCCTCCCCCGTTTCACAATCAGTTTACGATTCTGCCTCCAGTGAAGGGGAAAAGAAGCTTTTCAGCTGAAACCAGCAGAATGTTCAACAGTTTCTACCCACATCCGTGTCAACAACTGACAATTACACCCAAATAAACTGTATTGCACTTTAATGGAACATGTTTCCCTTTTAAAACACCATGTTGCGCTTTAAACTACAACTATGCTGTATTTGAATGAAGCGTGCTGTGCACGGTTTGTTTTTTATTTAAGACTTTTAGCTCAAGCAATTTTAGACATATTATGAGAATTTATATAATTCATCAATCAAATTAATCCATCTTTAATTACTCTTTTTTATGTAGCTACACAGGAAAATGAATATAAATATATTGTAAATCTGCTGTTGGCCAAACAATCCTACACTAATTGATTGGTTGAATTGAGTGATAAAATACATATATAACTGTATATAAGGACAAATACGCAATAAAGCCTGGAGACTAATTTCCAGATTGGTCCAGTAGAATAACACCTAAAACAACACAACAAAACAGTAAGAGAAATCATATAAATATACAGATCATTAGGAAATAAATAGCAAGCAGCAGGGAAGCTCTGTTAACATTCTTATGTCTCAAGCCATAAAAGTAAATAAATACTATATACTAAATAAATTAGTTGGAATGTGCTCTGTGTAACAATATGTCTCCATTATTGGGGCAGATTTTTTCTACTGTGCTGCTGCACTGTAGAGAATGAACACACTGTATTCAAGACCAATTTCCTGAGAAATTGGCAAAAATATTGCAATGTCAAGGAAAGTAAAACATGAATTCCAGGATCTGCCCCTTGGGTCAAATCCTTTCCAAGGTTCTAGGTTCTTCCCAAGCCGAGCCACCGAGTCTGGTTTAAATCGGTTCAGTACTTTTTGAAAACATAACGTCCTTGGCGAAGGTAATTATATGAACTGTAAAGCTGTCATTAACATAGCAGTCAACCAATACACTGCTGAGCCGACCCCACTGACATAATCACGACCTACCTCCCTGCTGCCAACCTAAACCACGGCATCCATATTTTGTTATTAATGTTTATGTGATGACACATTTTTTTAAGGATTAACATGGGAGACGCATTGACAGATTAAATTTTGTTGAGGAAATACAAGAAATAAATTACTGCTACTAGTGCTTCACCTTGTAGAGTTCCTTCTCATCTTTCTCATTCTTGAGATGAGAATCAAGTGCCTCCTTCTCTGCTGTAAGTTTCTTCACTCTGTCTTTGAGACTAAGAAAGGGTTAAAAAATGTGAGTCACAAATTGTATCACACATCACAATGTTCATGTTTATATCAGTTGGCTGATCAATCAGGGTATTATCTGTACATGGAAACAAAACTAATCAGTGAATCTTTGACATCCGCCCTGAACTCACCTGTCCAGCTCAGTTTCCTTTTGTAGGCCCTTCTGAGTGACTCCGATCAGATCCTCCTCCAGCTGTATGACTCTGGCTGTGGCTTCCTCCAGTCTCCTCTTGACCTCCTCTTTCTCCTCTTGCAGGGCCTGGGAAGAATTCTGCACCTCCTATGAGACGATAAAATATGTTGGAATTGGAATATAAGTCAAAACAGAATTGGGACTTAAAATACAGAGGATTGGTAATCAAACATGATCTTATGAGAAGTACTATCACTCTTATTCACAGAAGGAAAAAATCTACTCTGATTCAAGAGCTAAAAAATCTAGGTGAGGTAAAAAACTGAAATGACAAAATAATGCTTGAATATAGTCCTAGTATATCACCTTCTATCTCTGTCATTGACTCTAAGCTTGTGGAAAATGTGCGCAAATCATAAAAAGTTTATTGTCTTTGAAAGTTGAATCTAAATCAAAATGAACATTATGCTTCAATGTCGAGTTTTCAATATTAAAAGATGACATCAAAAAAGTAAAAAGTAAATTATTTTTTACAATTTGTTTATAGGTCAGATTTTGGAATCTTTATTCACAGCACATAAAAATATCATATAAAAGTGTAGTAATAAAATTAACAGCCACAAATTCTGTAATCATGTTTTCATCTGAGAGGCATTTCAAACCGAGAGGACAGCGATATGAGTTACTACTGACACTGCTTTTAAGACTTAATGTTGTGCAATAAAAAGCTGAATTACAGCTTTGATAATACAGACATTCATATCTGTCAAAAGTGTGATTTATGCCTTTAGTGGATCAGGAGTTTGAATAGCTCTGCATATTTGCAGTCATTCGCTAGGGGGTGCTAAGAGACTGTTTGGCCAAATGTAAAGTTGAACTCAGAATAACAAGAAGAGGACATGAGCATCAGTCATATCAGTTATTTTTGCATCTGCAGTTAAATTAAGGTAAAAAAAAAGGAAGCCGGCATTTTGTTTCATTTCCCAGTTTAGCAGGTTTTACAATAACAACAAACATGACTTTTTCCCTCCTTACTGCAGGTTCTCTTTGCTTACTTGGTTCTCTCTTCTCAGCTGGACACACGTATCTCTCTCCTGCTCACACTCTTTCAGCAGACTCTCCTTCTCAGCTTCCAGCTGCTCCTTCTCCTGCTGCAGCAGGGCAATATTTTTGACCAGCTCGTCTTTCTCTCTCTGGGCTTCTTCCACCTTTTGCTGCACAGAAAGACAAATATTTCGAAGTGTTCAGGTCATTTACATGATAATTCAGTACTTCACTAACAGCCAAACAACACCTGTGAACTCTGATGTACTAAGCTGCTCTGCTGATGAACACACTACCTCGAGGAAGCCAGCCTTGGTGGTGACAACAAGGATGTCAGAGTTGCATTCATCCTCCACAGTCAGCAGCTCGTCCTCTGTGGGGCTGCTGGCACGAAACAGGAATGGCGTGCTGGCTCCACGGATCTCACCTTTGTGGGTCACGTAACAGAACTGGTAGAACTCGCCGTCGTCATTGGGAACATAATATCCTGGGGGCAAATGACACCCAGTGAACTCAGTGTGCAGGAAGGCAAAACATACTTGTGAACAGATCTAAATTCATCTCAGTCCTAAATGTCATTTAAACTTCACAGTTATCACAAAATGCCTATATAACTTTCACATAATATGTGGAGATGTAACTCTATAAAGTGCAGAGACTGTTTTGCTGCAGTTTTTCAGCGATCTGGAGGCAAACTGCACATGTGTGATATTGTGGGTGTGAATCTAAAAAGCGAGACATTTCCCACATTTGTGACAGTTTCCATTGCTTAATAAAAAACAGTATAAAAGTTTAAACAACACCTAACTAAACTGTCTTTCACAACAGAACAGAGATTTGTGGTTTAAGTTTTTCATTTAACTCCATTCACTGATTTGGTATTAAAAGTTTTAACAATCCTCTGAACAGCCCTCTGATATGTGTTTATTAAAGGTGTCAAACTTATATAAAACTTTGGCATGGTCTTACCCTGAAAGACCACTGTTCTGTTGACTGCGGTGCCCTCCACGTAGTTCTCAGGAAGAGGGGACCACAAGAATGTGTAATAGTCCCTCGCTGTGCTCCAACCGACCTGTGAGACATTGTGGAGAATCAATTCAACCAGGCGTTTTCACCACATCAGTGTGGATAATAACAATGGAGGATTAAGAGGCTCCATAGACTCTACACTGCCACCTCCAAAATATCTCCAACAGCTTTATTCCAGTAATCATGAGGCTTTTAGTCTAAGTTAGGATAATGCAACTTCTTGTCGAGGAGGAATAACGAACATTTCTGTGAACCACTGCGACTCCTGGTCAGCATGTGCACGTTGTCCAGCCCTTGTCATGAACAAGCCTCACTGTGGAAATGTAGCTACAACTCACTTCTAACCGGAAGAGGGAAATAGGTGAAAATTTTATACATAGGCAACTTGAAAATGAAAACCAAAATGTAATTATATGTATTTTATGTGTTGTTAACTGATGGCTGATGAGGAGGGAGTCCAGAATATACATCCATAACTTCAACCCGGTGCCATAAAACTGTCAAAGAAAATCAGAGTCACATTGAGTGGGCTGGCTTTCAGTGTGCACACACATGCATCCACAACAAGCCCGACCAAACTACCCTATTACCACAGCCTCCACCACAAAACACAGATTAAAGATGTGTGATGTGACTTTCAAAGTTTTGCCTAAATTATAATTTAAATAGTCATGCCAACAGATCATGTGTATATTTATACACATGTGACAGATGTTGCTTTTGATGTACGCCGGATTTCTTTTAGCCAAAACAAATCTGGCCAGTTTATTCTCTCACCTGTGTACAAACAGCCTGCAGCTACAATATCGCAAGTGTTCATCAGAGCCAGAGATAGAAGGCCCCGGTGCTCCAAAACCCCCAATTGTTACCGGCGCATTTTCCAGCCTCCAGCAGTAAAGAACAGGAAGCAATTAAAACATGCACCTAGTTAGTGAGTGTCATTACTGAGGGCTAGTGTTCACCAGTCCACTCATTAGAGCTGCAGAGATGGTGCTGGGTGAAAACTCTGAGAGGAACTCTTTCACTTACCTCAGCCTGGTCTGCAATGTGTACAAAAGGGAGTATAGGAGGAAGAGAGAAAAAAACGGCCTCAAACAACAACACCTGCAACCATACGATCTCCGTAAAAATACGACCAGTTACAAAATGATACTAAGGCCGAGCAAAGCAATAAGCATTTTGATCTGAGCAAAACATTTCACCATCATTCCTGGAACGTCACACTCCTGCACAAACACTAACAGGAGCTGGTGGCCATGTTTCTGCAGGAGGTAATAGCTTGTCAGTCAGACTGTGTAAATTCAGGAGGCAAGTTGCTCGTGAATCACACAGAAAGGATGAGCTCAGAGACAGGTTAATTATAAAGCTCTTCTTGGTTTGTCCTGAGCCACTGTGGCAAAGTCTTCCAACAACATTCCTCTATAAAGCTAAGAACAGCTCTCATCAGGCAGCATTGTAACTGTTCCAGCATCAAGGGGCCAATGGTGGCTTCTGTCCATGAGCAAATAAAAACCTGTCCCATCTATTTATCGGTATACTTGGTGTTGATCGACTTGCCAAGTTATATTTCATTCACGCATTTGTAAATAGTTTTAGGCTGACACGTGAAAAAGAAAGAATCTGAAAGTAATTAATTTTCAATGTAGTCATACTCTTCAAACAGATATTCTGTGACAAAGACAATTATCTAAAGCAGAGACTGCTCTGCATGAATGTATACATAAAGGAGCCAACGCCGGTGCACAGCATATTCAGGTATCTCTATGCATGCGAACACAAGAACTTGGCTCTGAATGTTTCATCTGTCAGCACCGCCAAGAACATTTACAGGATTTATGACCCTACACTCAGGCCTCTTCCAGCTCAGCTCTGTGTTTTAGAGGTTGAAGAAATTCAGTAAGATCTGCACTGCCAGTTGCTGCCTACCTTGAGGCTGAACACAATGTGATGTGGCATCCAGCCATAACAGTGTGCTGAATTCAGGATTTAAACAGCCTCCAGACATTAGCCTGACATGACTTCATTTTCATGTAAGCTTGGCAAAACCCTGTACATTTACGCACCTCTAAAACTACAAAATATCAGAGTATTTAGACAGAATAAGTTTTCATGCATTTTGAAAAGACATTAACAATTTAAATCTCTGGCGTGGAGAAAAACTCCTCTTGGCTGACTCAAATCAATAACTGTAAGTTACCATAAGTGCATGATCACAGTGTATTTATGACTTTCAGCATATGCGTAAACAGGAACCATTGCAACCACAACAAACACTTTTTTGATCTAAAGTGATTTAATCCCAGTTTCCATCACATTTCTGGTCTTGGTGTTGAAGACAAACTTGCAGCCACACACCTCTTCCTAAATCCAAGATTCACTACAGATGAGGCTAAAATAAATTACTGCCACTGTTTTTGAGTTAACGTGATCCTATAACAAGATCCATGTGGACCATTCAAGTGTGTGGTGGGGGTCAAAATACTCCATTGACTCTGCCAAGCTCATTTTTCAGGAAAATATAACAACGTCCACACTAAAATCATAGTAGTCACTAAGATAGTGAAGATGTTTACTTTGTTTTCTTATACTTTTGAAAGGGGATATTCACCTTGAATATGCCAACCCAGTCCTTTGGATGTGGTCTGATGAACTGCGTCAGGGTATAGTGACACTCCAGTGCAGCATGTGGCAGGTAACTCTTCCCCACATTCTGGAAGATGACGTGGGCAAAGTTTGACGTGTCCATGTTGTTGCTTAATAAAGTTCCGTCCAGGAACAGTTCCATAAATCACTCAGTAGTGGCTACACAGAAATAGACAAGCAACGAAATTAGAATTAGAAAAAACAACAACCACAGAAAGAAACGAAAAAGCACTCCAAGAGAAACCAGTCATTCAAGGGAGTTGATTTGATTCTGATATTCTTATAATTACTGCATAATGAAAAATATGTCATGTATACTGTCAGTTGTCTAGTTTGTAGTGAAAGCAATTTAAATCATATGTTTTTATAAGAACATGCATTTTCATGAGAGAACACATCCTCTTTTTGCTAGACTGACCATTTATAATCTATTAGATTTTTCAAATAATATAGCATGTACAGTAGACAGATGGCTGCAGATATAAAAGCACAGGTGGCTCAATTAAAAAGCAGAGATAGTGTCAAATTTTCATTTCCCAGCCATCCCATCAAGAATAGTTGATATGTAAAATTGATATTTCTTCATGGCTTTATACACCTGGCACTAAAATGTGTTTTGTATCCAGGTCGTATATGTGATTTATTTTGGTCTGATGACATTTACACCTGGTATTATGTGTCTCAGAGTAGAGGACAGCTTGGTGTATTTCTGAGCTAATGGCTGCTAGCTACCTGCTGCTCCCTTAGAACAGTCCTGTGGGAGTATAATTTACATAGTTTTTGGATGTAAAAATATTTGCATTTACACTTTTATTACATTTGTTCAATATGGTCACAATGTGTGATCCCCTCTGGAGGTGACTTTAATTTATTAGATAACAATCCATACTGTACTTGCATGTGGTCAAGCAGTATCTGATTGCAATTGGATAACCACCAGTTGTTGTGAAGTTGTTGTTGAAGTTATTGTTAGTATCTGTCCTTGCCAGATGACATCTTGAATAGTGAGGCAGTCCAAAACATTTGCAAGGATGGGAACAATAACCCAAACACAACCTTTCAGGCACTGTGAGTGTTTAGGACATAGCTCACAGCATCGTCATCAGAATCCAGTCACACCCCATGGAAGTGACGTGACTTGTTAAGACTGAGGTCTGTGTTGTTTGGATAAAGGTTGGGAGATGTGTGCTGACGAACTGGCACACTGATAAAAAAACCACAGGAACTGACAGCAAACAGTCAGCCACAGAAAATATTGAAATAAGCTAGGGTTGCAGTGAGCAGCGGAAACACATATTGACTTGTGATAAGCAGCAGAATAGTTTTCAACATGAAAACATTTTTTGAAACAAACACCACACAGAAACAATGACTACAGAGAGAAAAGATGAGATTATGATCATATCAGTATGTTCATATTTTTAAAGTGAAGCATCCAAGTGTAGGACCCTCCCCTTCCAATAAAAACACACTCTCTAGAGCCAGTGTTTTGCTGGTCTATTAAGGGCCACTATAGAGACATGGTGGTGCAACATGGTGGACTATGTGGAAGTGGACGTGCACCCATTGTATAAAACAAAAAAGCTGATAAACACTCACTGGTAATTAGTTTTGGATGATTATGGACAAATGACAACATAATTACAATCAAGTAATTATGTCCACTGACACAAACCATACATGCTGTACATTTAACATAGTACCAGACACCAAGCAGTCTAGAAAAATATCATAGCTCATACCAGCAGACTAAGTAATTCAGGACTATCTTAAAATTGTGCAGAAGACCTTCAAACACACAAGAGATATTCACCATCTTGTCCTATAACACCATCAATAACCATCAATAACAGTCAATAACAGTCAGTGGTCCGGACAGACCAGTGACAGGTCATTAACTCTCCCTGTCTAATCTTTTCTGGCCCAGAGCCACTGTTTATCAGAGTCAAACCTAATTTAAATAACAGCAGGAAAACTATTTTCTTTATACAATTCCACCTGACGCTACGAGGCCATGTGACTAACATCAGCTCTGCATCAGGTTGGATTTCCCCATTGGGCCTCAGCTGATATAATTTTGATCTACGTAATTAGGCCTGTGACAGCCCAAACCTTTCCTCTGACGATGAGCGAGAACTCCCAACAATATTGTCGTGAACAGGTAACACAGAAGTTATCAACCGGATGTGTCATTTGCCTAAAGTCCACTGTATCAGTGACTTAAACCGACGAATGACAACTACGTGACGAGGCCTAATGTGAAAACAGTGATCACTGCTAACTAGCTAGCGTTAGCCACATACTTTACAGGACAACAACACGGGTTATAATCAGGGCTAGCTTACACGTGCTCATAAGAACTGTGTCCCAAGTTAAATATTCACTTTACATGGTAAACAATGCAGTAATTATAGCTGGTGGTGTTACGACGCCCTTAAGGAAAACAGAGCAGCATAGCACTGCTGTAAAGTGGAGGACAAGGTTAGCTAACGTGATCAGTTAGCGACGCAGACGATCGGTCGATGTATCTTGTAAAAAGTCTTGACAAACGATTTTATCGGACAGATTTATAAAACTAACCTTAAACGTACCTTGCTGACATGTTGAACAGACGCTAAAATCCGAGTGTATCATTAAAACAATTGTTGACGCAGTTCAGTGCTTTCCCCCTTCCACTTCCTGGAATAATAATAACACGTCATTTCCGGAAGAAGACCTCGGGAATCCCACTCGACTGAAAAAATGACAACAAAGAAAAGTCCATAATCATTCAACAGTGATATATATTCAAATATTTATATCTCTTTGGTTGCGAGTTATTATGTGTATAAATAACTTCCATATTAATACAAATTAAAAAATAGATCATACAATTACTGTAATTCCATTCCTGTCAACTATAAGAATAAAATACTTACACATGAAGTACATAGTTCAGAGTTACATCAACAGACCATGTTTCTTTGACCACCGGGATAATTTTATTACAAACAATATAATAATTACATTAATACAGTGTAGTCTGCAAAATAGGTCTGTATCAAACATCAGAAAAACATATTTATTCAAACACTATGGACTTTTCATTACAACCCAGTACATAACATATATTAGATTATCACAATGTAATCTGCTTTGAAATGTAAAGTAAACAAATAAATGATATGTGTGTGGTTTTACTTTTGAATTCCTGTCTCACCACGTTGAATAAGACAGACCTAAACGGAGTTTCTATGGGATCTGATGAAAACAAGTGGAGCATCTCTGGGTAGATTCTAGAGATATACTTCAATGTGAAAGCAGAAATCAGAAATAAAAAGACAAATGTGTTTGGTGTATAAGATGTTTATTTACCTTGCGATAGGTGGGTGTGTCAGAGGTGTTACCCAATCAGCTGGCGTCTATGTTTAAACCCCATTGTAGTAAAAGTCAGTGCGCATGCGTATTGTGAACACTTTCCGTTTCAAGATTTTATTTTCTACTTTAACTTTTATTAATTATTCAATATGTCTTTTAAAATATAACCGACAACAATATGTTATTTACTTCAGTTCGCTTTGTGCTTGAACGTCATCTCTAAGTCCCGCCCTTCCTTGCAGCTAATTGGCTGGACACAGGAAGCCCCGCCGCGCAGTTCTGTCGCCTGATTGGCCGGACGACCCGCCATTAAATTACGTTCTCGCGACGTCACACGCTGGATCAGGAGGGAAGAAGCATGGCCGCCGTGCTGAGAGGGTCTCGGTACCTAGTTGGAAGGTGTAGCAAGCATGTTGGCTCTGTGTGTGGTAAGCCGAACAAACTCAGACCCTGCACACGATACTCACGTCGCAGTGTTTCCTTCAGAAGCTCAGGCTGTTGTCTGAAGCCTCTCTGTGGCTTAAAACAACAACACTCGCCTCTCATGGAAGAGTAGCAGAAGTTTGGCTGCACTGGTTTTGCTCTGTTGGCTGCTGCTGTTGCGTCAGGCTCTTGAGTTCACATTTCACATGTTTAAAAAGCGTTTCTGTTTTAAAATGACTCCACACAGCCTTTATGTTTCCACTGCTCTGTTTCTGAACGCTGTCCTCTGCACTCTCTGCCTGTTTTTGTTCAAGGCACGTTATGTAATGGCTGTCACCCTGCACCTTGCAGAAACATGGCTGGTGACTCGGTGACTTCTTAACCTGGAGTTAAAGCAGATCCGTGATATCTAATTTGAATATACTCGTTTTACTGCAAACATCCGTCATTGTAAGTCTTTCGTTGTCGTGTTGCTTAGCTAACAACATTTGGGTGAACAAATGGTTGTAATACTCTCTCACAGACGGGAACACAGTAGGTTTGTTAGTTTGAAGATGACCTGAAGGAATAAAAATTCCTGTACATAGGTGACTCATGATTATTAATGTTGACATAAGTTTATGAAAGAGCAATCTTTTATTCAGGCATACTAAAGTCATCTTTGGAGAGCCCTGGGTATGATTACATAAGATGACTTTGACACTGAAGGGCAGCTACCTAGGTATAAAATGTTAATTCAATATAATCAGCACTCTTGGCCATGGTAGGATGGGTTACAGCTAAGAAATGTTCTTCGCTGTTGGGTCCAGATACAATGTTGTCTAAAATTATTCATATAAAATTTTGAAAGATGCTTAAATAAGAAGGGTGCTCACAGAGTGCAAAGCTTCACCAACTCTAACGCTCTACCTGGATCCACCTGTTATAATGGATTTCCTCTGAAAGCGAATGGGTTCTTCCTTGCGTCCGGTTGTACTTTGCCTCTAGTTTCTTCATAATCTTAAATATCAAACATTCAAACACTCAAATAACAACATAACCTTCTGAGCAGATGTAGTTGGATAGCTATAGAAAGTGTGGCAAATAAAATAAGGCATATTGATATTATTTTAAAGATATTCTGTCTTGTTATTGATCCGTCTGGACGTTATGTTTTAGTCTCCACAAGGTCTATGGCCTCAAAGACACAGGTGGGGTTTGTTGGTCTGGGCAATATGGGAAACCCCATGGCAAAGAACTTGCTGAAGCACGGATACCCAGTCATTGCCACAGATGTGTTCCCGGAGTCCTGCAAGGAAGTGCAAGAGCTGGGAGCTCAGGTGAGACCGTAAAACGCACTTCTTCTTTTTTTTAACCTCCTCTTGTTTGTTCTCTCTCAACCCTGTGATTTTTGTGTGTTCTTTCAGATTGTGGATAATCCCGCTGAGGTAGCCGACAAGGCTGACCGCATTATCACAATGCTCCCCTCTAGTCCCAATGTCATAGATGTGTACACCGGACCTAATGGCATTCTCAAGTATACTGGTTTATCTTTTTAATATGAGTTAAGATAACCTCCTGCACTTATCCCAGATTCTCCTAAGCATTTTTTATTTTTCCCAACAGAAAGGTAAAGAAAGGCTCCCTCCTCATTGACTCCAGCACCATCGACCCAGCGGTTTCAAAAGAGATGGCTGCTGCTGCAGAAAAGATGGGTGCAGTTTTTATGGATGCACCAGTATCAGGAGGTACCTTTTTAATTTATTTTTTTACACTTGTCATCATGAAGTAGGTTGTAAAAATTATAATGCATTATGGCTTCTTGAACTTATTTAAATATGTACAGTTGTGAATGTATCAGGTTTCCCTCCTCTAAAGCTAAAAGAGAACCTATGGTCATTATTTAAAGTATATTTCTATTATTAGATAGTGACCATGGAGAGAGAGGAATGAGATGTAGTAAAGGGTTTCCCAGCTGGCAGTCGGACCGGGGACCGGTTGCTTGACTGCACGTGTCTGTGTATATGGGACGTGATTCAAAAATTTTGAGGCCATTGTGGTATTGTGAAACATGCAGCATTAAACTCTGCTTTTTAGTCAACCATCTCTTAGATGGTGAGATTAAACTGAGAAGTTTAATAAACCTAAAATATTTTTATTGATTTTATTTCGCAATCAGGCATAATGGAAAATAAAACATTCCTGCATTTAGAGTATTTTTTTGTACATTGTTGTCCTGTATGTATCACCATATTCTGTGTGTTGTATGTGGGCAGGACTCTTATTAATATGACATCAGACAGTTAGCTATACTCAGCTGCTGTAAGGTTCTGTCAAATTGAAGGATTATAGTTGAAGCAAATTAACTGCTGCTTTTCGCTGAAGCACTGGTTACTACAATATTACTGAGGAGAGAGTTTACCTTTAATCAGGCTGCACCAAATTTCACACTCTTATTGATATCCGTTTCCCTAAATATGCTTAATTTTTCATCCTGGTAAAATTGTGAAAACAAACACACCCTCTCACGCAATGCTTAAGAAAGTGTAAAAAAAAATTCCTGGATCCACACAAAATTATTATTGGTTCTTCCCTAAACCATACTTCATCCTTCCACCAAGTTTCATGGACATCTTTTAAATAGTTTTTGTGTAATCTAACTTTAAACCAAACAGACACAGGTGAAAACAAACGTAGAGACGTGGACGTAATAAAATGCACGGGCTATGTATCTGAGGACGAAGAGGAGAAGAGCTGCTTCTTCAGCATTGATGTTTCTAACAGTAAAGCATGTGCTCTCAGACTTTCTTGGGGGTCCACACAGAAACACCGTTTGTTTGAACTTGGCCTCGTCAACGTCAGGACGGCCACTTTGTTTGAATTCAAAATGGTCCATTTTATGGTCTGGCCCTAAAGATTAGTAATGATTTATATGCTTCCGTCCTGTGGTAGTGCACATGGATTAAAGTTGTCCTGCTTTCTGCCTTCAGCATATGTGCGTCTGCACTTCTGTGTGGTAGCAGCAGTTTAACCAGTTCAAACTGAAGTGTGTCATTCTTTAATATGTCGCGTCAATCACCAGGCTACTATATGAAGCTTTTTGAACATCTCTCTCTCTTTGTCTGTGGTCAGACAGGAATCAAAAGAAGTACAGTGGCATGGTAGTGGCTGTTTAACCAGTGCAGTTAAAGCCTAAATGTAAAAACACACACACACACACACACACACACACTCGGTGGTGGGGATCTAATTGAGTCAGCATGTGACTGACTTTGTGTGAAAAAATGTCAGGACCAGATGAGATAACTTCCATCTTTCAGTTTCCCTCAACATACTCTGAAATAAGTAAAACTGAGACTTGGTAAACTTTGTGTATGACCATTTGCAGGGGAGGGTCAGTCTGGGAAATCTCTGAGAGGGGGTGACCACATGACTTTCCAGTAAACATTCCTAAACAATTAATAGGCTGTTTGACAAAAATCTCTGCCGGTCGGGTCTTAGAGTTTTTTCCCCCCAAAAAACATTGATGTTCTAATTTTTATTTCCTAGATAGTAAACAGCAGAGCTCCTCTGGTTTCAGGTCTCAGCTCTCACTTTATATGTGTCAGTGAAGTTTCAGCAGCCGCACAGTTGAGAGGAATGCTAAAACCCAACAGCCTTTTTTTCCCTCCTGACTTTTGTAATTGTAACCGAAGGGCATGTTACGTATGTAGTATACTTGCCACCATTGTCCCACTCATGTGTCAATACTATGAAAACTTGAAAATATTTATATACTCCTTGCCATTTGTAGGCAATTGCAAATATAGTTTAATCTCAGTTTTATTATCTTTTCTATACTGTGTGGCATCTCTCAGATCAGTTTTTGGTGTTGTGCAGTTGAGACACTGACAACATTAAACTAGATCTGAAGTTGCACATATTTGTTCATACCTTGCTGCTGATCATATTTT